TACGACATGATGCAGCCGGGGGCCTTCATGGGCGGCAACATGATGATGATGGGCGGCGGCGGCGGGTACTATACCACGCAGCAGGGGGCTGGGGCGGGCGGGGGGGGTGGTCCGCAGCGAGGCGACGGCGGCGGTGCGAGGGGGGGGAGGGGCCAGTCCCGGTATAGACCCTACTGACATTCGCCAGCGCATGCCCGCTGTCTGCTGGACCGAGGGGCGGGTGCTGCAGGTTGGCGCCTTCCTGGCGGCTCGGCGACTCTCTGGTCCGAGCAGCCACCGCTCGGGCAACCTCCCGTGGGCTTGCCCCGCACCCCTGAGGCGCTTGACCCCCATGAATCCTGGTGCCATACCACACTTGACTGGAGCCCTGCCACTGCTGCGTCATCCCCCGCGTGCACCCTCTTCGTGACGTGCACGCGGAGCAGGGGCATCTTGTAAGCATGCCAATGAGTCGCACACAGAGGCACGCATGGGAGGATGGTGGGCCCTGGCACATGGAGGCCCCTGGCCGACACTGGCCCACTCCAGGGGATCCCGTAGGGCATGGATCCGAAATTTTCACTCCCACGCCATTGTCATGAGCCCTGTCGCCGGAGTGACGCGGCGATGATTGGATTTGCGCATCGCGGCGGATTGCCTGGCCATGATCTCCTTCTTTCCAGGGAAGATTTGGCGATACCATACAGCGGGGGTGATTCGGATGCCTGAATGGTGGCCGATGATTGTGTCGTGCGCAATGCCGCTACAACCCCGCACCGACACATCACCATCTTGCGCAGTGGCGCGGTGCCAGCGAGTGGATGTGACACACCGGCCAGGCGCCTGAACGGGCTTCGCACGAGATGGCTCCCGGAGCGGGGACGGGTTCTCCGCAGGTGGGCCCCGGGACACCCCGCATGCGTCAATGTAGATTCGTAATGCAATTCCTGCTGCAATAAGAAGGTAGCCTGTGTCCCGCAGGTGCCGGAAACGGAGTCCAACCTGACCTCTGCATTGGAGGGCCTGCGACACACCTTTGTCGTGGCTGATGCCACCTTGCCGGACTGCCCCCTCATGTTCATCAGCGAGGGGTGAGGCGCTAGATTCAAGACCAAATTGCGTGTGCTGGGGAGGATGCTTTTTGTGTGGAGTCACCGAACCGTGCATGAGTGTGGTTTGTTGTTGTCGTGGTCTCACTGTGCGCGCAGGAACCACTAAGCGTGTGAATTATATCTGGGGACGCACGGAATGGCAACAGGCTCTTCCCTCCGCTCTTTCTTGGCAGGTTCTCTGCGCTGACGGGGTATTCTTGTGAGGAGGTGCTGGGGCGAAATTGGTGAGGACGCGAGGAATGTGTCTTCGGGTGCCTGCTGGGTTGCCGCGGGGTCTCGTGCGATGTCTGGGAGGGTGGCCTGTGTCAATAGGCAACGAGGGTAAAAGCCGCCTGCTGTGCATTCCGCCCTCATTGTCATCGATGCAGGGTCCCTGCCAGCACACCTATTGCCTTGCCGCCCCTCCCCGCCTGGCTTTACGCTCCTTCGTCTGCCTCATGCCGCATCCTGTGTACCCCCTTGGCTGTCTGTCTGCCACCCTTTCAGAACATTCAAACCTCACCCCAAGGCCCATTCCCCTCTTCCCTCCCCGCAGCCGCTTCCTGCAGGGCGAGGGCACCGACCCCAAGGCCGTGCAGCGGCTGCGCCAGGCCGTGCGCGGCGGCAAGGCCATCTGCACGCGCCTGCTGAACTACCGCAAGGACGGCACGCCCTTCTGGAACCTGCTGACCATGACTCCCATCCGCGACGGTTCGGGGCGCGTGGTCAAGTTCGTGGGCGTGCAGATGGACGTCACCAGCCGCACCGACGCACGGTGGCTGAGCGAGGAGGGCGCGCGCAGCGAGGGCACGGCCTCGGAGGAGGAGGCGGTGCCGCACCTGATCCGCTACGACGAGCGCCTGCGCCGCGGCCTGGCCGCGCCCGTGGTGGGCGAGGTGGTGGCAGCTGTGCGTGGCCGCGAGGCCGCGGCGGGCGGCGGGGGCGTGGGAGGGGGCGACGGGGGCACGGGCGGGGACGCTGTGGGCGGACCCCCCACCCCCACGCGGCTGCCGTCGCCGCCGCGGCGCGCGGAGGGCGCGCTGCCGCGCGTGGCGCTGGACCTGGCCACCACCGTGGAGCGCATCCAGAGCAACTTTGTGATCTCGGACCCGACGCTGCCCGACTGCCCCATCGTGTTCGCCTCCGACGACTTCCTGCGCCTGTCGGGGTACTCGCGCGGCGAGGTGCTGGGGCGCAATTGCCGCTTCCTGCAGGGCCCCGACACCGACCGCGGCCAGGTGGCGGAGCTGAAGGCCGCGCTCCGCGAGGGGCGCGAATGCAGCGTGCGCCTGCTCAACTACCGCAAGGACGGCAGCCCCTTCTGGAACATGCTCACCGTGGCCCCCATCCGCGACATGGCGGGGCGCGCGCGCTTCCTCGTCGGCGTCCAGGTGGACGTCACCGCGCACCCCGAGGCGGAGCGCGCCGCCGATGGCCCCGCCGCCGCCGACGCGGTGAACGCCGCGGTGGCGGGACTGGGCTGGGGCGGCCCTGCCACCGCCCCCGGCGCCGACCCCTGGGCCAAGTTCCCCTCCGCGCTGCGGCCGCTGGGGCCGCACGCCGCCGCGCGCGACGGGGGCGCGGCTGAAACGCTGCGCGGGGCGGTGGCGCGGGAGGGGGGCCTGCGCCTGCGCTCCTTCCAGCGCCTGCGCTCGCTGGGCGCGGGGGACGTGGGCATGGTGGACCTGGTCAACCTGGTGGGCACGCCCCACAACTTTGCGCTCAAGTCCCTGAACAAGCGAGAGATGGTGCAGCGCAACAAGGTGTGTTGGGAGGGGGTGGGAGGGGGAGGGGGAGGGGTGTGGCGGCGGGGGGAAAAGGCGGGGGGAGCGGCGGGGGAAAGCGCCGGTCCCTGCATCTCCGCTCCTCTACACCGGGCGTGGCCGCCGCCGCCGCTTGGGGCCGGGGCGGCACACGCACGACGCCTGCGCAGCCCACTACCCTGTTATTCACGTGCCGCCCAGGGTCAAATCACCCACACCGCACCTCCTCCCTCTTCCAGCTGGGCCGGGTCAACACGGAGCTGGCGGTGCTGACCAGCGTGGACCACCCCTTCCTGGTCAACCTGTACGCCACCCTGCAGACGGGTATGCGGGATGCTTGGGGTCAGGGAGCGGGGCGACACTGTATTGTTTTTATCTGTGGGAATGCAAGGGCTTGACGTGGCTCTGCGGGATTCCCAGTTGTTTTGAAGCCCTTTCCTCCTCACCGGGACGACAGGCTGCCTGGCCTGGCAGCGGCCTGTGCACCCAGGGTCCTCTCCCAGGAGTGGCACCATCAAACACCCCCGCCCTCCACCACCCCCGCAGACACCCACGTCCACTTCCTGTTGGAGTACTGCGGCGGCGGGGAGCTGTACGCCGCGCTCTCCACGCTGCCCAACAAGCGGCTGGGCGAGTGCGTGGCGCGCATGTATGCGGCCGAGGTGCTGCTGGCCCTGCAGTACCTCCACGTCCAGGGGTTTGTGTACCGCGACCTCAAGCCCGAGAACATCCTGCTGCTGGAGTCGGGGCACCTGCGGCTGACCGACTTCGACCTGTCCCACTGCGCCATGGGCACCCAGGTGGACCTGGTGCACCCCCTGGGCCCAGCCGGGGTCGCGGGGACGGAGGGAGGGGAGCGTGGGGGGAAGGGCAAAGGTGTCGCGCCGCCGCCGCCCGACTCCCCCCCGGGCGACCAGCCCCACTGCGCGCCCAACCTCCAATGCTTCAAGGTGAAGGTGGTGGGGGCCTCAGAGGGGCGGGGCCGAGCACGTGGAGCCCGCGCTGTGCGACACTCACTTGTGCAGGGGGGCGACAGGGCAGGGGATGTACTGCCAGGGCTCCGTGGCAGTCGCATTTTCCCTTAACCACCCTTGAAAATATCATGGACCTTCTGTTGCACCCCTGCATGACCCTCGACTCCTCGATCGATTGCCTGTTCCCACCCCCCCCCACACACACACCTCAGCCTTCCGCCCCCACCCCACCCATTGTACTGCAGACGGCCTTCACGGGCACCACCCCCGTGTCCGGGGTCGCGGAGGGCCAGCCCCCGCCCCTGCTCATGGCGCAGCCGCAGGGCCGCGCCAACTCCTTTGTGGGCACCGAGGAGTACCTGGCCCCTGAGATCATCGCGGGCGTGGGGCACGGCGCGGGCGTTGACTGGTGGAGCCTGGGCGTGCTGATCTACGAGATGCTGACGGGGACGACGCCGTTCCGGGGGCCGCGCCGCGACATCACCTTCGACAACATCGTGCGCAAGGCGGTGGCCTGGCCCGAGGACGTGGAGGCCTCGGAGGAGGTGCGAGACCTGGTCGAC